TAAAACGAAACTTGATGCACAAGAAACGTATGATCGATCTTCGACACTCAAAGCTACGGAAAATCAGGTGAAAATTTAAAAGAAAATACAACGAACAGGAAGAAAAAAAAAACAGACCGAGAGAGAACAAACCTTGAGTGCATTTACCAAAATAGCACGATCTTCAGCGCTCAAAGCTACGTAAAATCAATACAATAAAGAAAAATAAGAATCAATTAGAACGAAAAGCAGTGGTATTGAATATATACGTATGATCGGAAATTTACCGGCGGCAGCGGCAGGGAGGAGATCAGAATCCGAGTGATCTTTGATCGAAATGCTCATGTTGAATTCGTGACGAAAGAGTTGGAAAAAATGTGATTGAAACAGAAAGAATTGTGAAGAACCGAAGAGAAAAAAGTGGAACTCTGAAGAGTCACAGTTATGGGATGAGTCGGTATTCTGTTTGAGCTGAGATTCGAGAAGTTATTTTCTTTCCTGCAGCTATTTATAGTATTTAATTTAATGCAATGACGGTTTCGAGATTAATTTTCTGATAGGGTTATTTAATTGGTTGGAATGAAATTGCGAAATAACTTTGTAGATATTGAAATTTTGTGGGACTCTACAAGATATGTTTAATTCGAATTAAGACTCTAGAATGTGTGTTCAGTTTCAATTAGAATTCTTGAAATGTGTTTAGTTTCAATTAGAATTCTTAGAGGCTACTCAACCATAAGCCCTAGTTCATGCCTATATAAAAGGTACACTAAATTCCCTTGTCTCGAATATTCTACAAATTGATGGAATATTCAATATAGAGGTCAAATTTAAATCATCCTAGTTAATACGCCACTAACGTCCCTTGGATAAATCGAGTAGAATCAAGGATGGACAAAATTGTACCCGCAATCTTGATCAATAAAGTTATGTTTCTTCTTATTTTATTGTGATCGCAATTTATTTTTTGTCACTTTAAAATTTGTTACAAACAAACTTATTCTGGAGTTGGTTATTCTGGGATTATTTATATCCCACATTGAGGGTGTAATAAAACAATGATTGGAATTTATCATTTTACTCCTATTAATTATAAATGGATGAATTAAAAATTTAAAATTTTAAAAAAGTTCAACATTTTTTAAAGTAATTAATTGAGGGTTTAATAGATATAAAAAATATTATTTTCTTAATTTGCAATGATTGAATCATTGAATTACCTCAGCCTTATTTTGTTTAAGTCATAGCCATCCCGGATGCCCGATCCCATATTTTCATGAGTTAGACTGATTTTGTTGATATGACATCGATTTTGACTGTATTGACTTCATATCTTTCATGGTTGGATTTATTCTTACCTATAATGTTCTCAAGATAGTATTTGGTGTCATCCATGTTGAGTCGCTAGCTTTTAATTTATTTTCTTACCATGTGTCTGCTTCCTTTCCTGATTCACCCACATATCTAGTTCTTCTTTAAATTATCTTTCTCCCCATACAATTATATAAGGTTCGCACTCATTGGCAGAATACACTAACACGCTACCACACTTCATATTTCTATGTACATTTTATTTAGTTTTGATATTCAAAAATACGATCTATTTCAATTGAACACTTGAACATAAAATGAAATATTTATATAAGATAATTTCAGCATGAGCATGTTTATGTTATAAATTTTACATAGATAATCACATAAAAATGTATTTTTTTTGTGAGAGATATATGTCATATTCTTACTTATATGCATCAAGTCAATTGAAATTGACTTGAAGCTCTATAACTTATCGAGTCTAATACATATAATTAAAGAATGTGAAATCCGCTAACTTAAATGAGTAGCTCTTAGCATATTTTAAGTAATTAATCCATCGATATAATAAGCGTTTGAATACACGAACCTTTTTCAATTTGCATAATAGATACACTTTATCATATTAGTTATAATTGGAGTGTTTATGGGTAAAACGTATCCGTACCGAGTGTTTACACCAAGTCAATACATGCAGGTCATGTGTTTAAATTTATAATTTATTTTACTTAATCATAATTAATTGACATTGTTTTACTTCATTAAATCACGTAATAATAGAAATTGCATTGACTTGATGTAAACATACGGTGCAAATAAGTTTTTTTCCCTGTTATTATGCACGTCTAATGCTATTTAAGTTTAAAATTTGGTTAATACGGTAACTTTGACAATTACATGCAAATTAACGTGTCGCCAACGACTGATTTTTAAATTATTATCTTTTTCTTCCTGCTACATCTTTTAAAATATTATAAAATTTAAATTGAACAATTAAAAATGAAACAGAAACGCCGTTATATCAATCGAAACAAAGAATAGGTGAACTCTGGCGATTAGTTTTGAAGTAAAATGGAAATTGAAGGAACTGATGGGTCCAAAATCCTGCTGAAACCCGGTTCAACCCGAGAGTTCGGTAGAGGGTTGGGGTTCACCTCCGACGACCGAACCGTTTCTCGCCGGCAAATCTCGTTCCAAATCCGTAACTCTCCAGACCAGGAAGATGAAACTATGGTTAATTTTGAAGTTGTTGGAAGGAACCCAATTTGGGTATACATCAATCGGGACGGTGAAGTTCGAACTTTTAGGAAGTCTGAAAGAGGTGAAATGGAGAATGGTGACATGTTCTGTGTTTCGGCTAACAAATCCATCTGGTTCACCTTGAAAAGAATCGATAAGAGGGATGCCAAGAAAGAGTTGGAAATGGAGACCCAGTTGGCTGAAAGCCTAAAGAGTAGTTTATGCCCTGTAGGGATTGAATTAGACCTCGAGAATGTTGATATTTCGGGCATTGACCCTGTTCAAGGTTTGATTTTTCCCCCTATTTGTTTCTTTGCATCTGCTATTCCGATGCTCAATTGATTTTCCAGTTGCTTCACTTTTACGGTGAATTGAAAATGTTTAATCAATTCAATTAAGTAGTATCAATCCCAAACTAGCTGACTTTGTTATATGAATCATCTGCCTCCATTTGGTCTTTTAATTTAGTCAGAGGATTCAATGTAATTTGATTGTCTGACAGTTCAATTTTTAGCGCTTTCGTAATGTTTGGCCATAGATTTTGTAGTTTAAACTTGAAAATTTGAGTTGTTGAAGTTGTGATTTCTGGAACTTAAAAGTTGTGTTTGACATGCATTTTACTTGGAAGATTTTTGAAGTATTGTGCGTAAAAGTGAAATTTCTCTCAAAAACCGCCCTGGCTCATACCACTTTTTGAGAAATTGAACGTATTTGAAGATCTCATTTTGAGAAATTTCGGGACCAAACAGATTTTTGAAGATAAATTTTCAAAATTTGATCCAAATCTATGGCCAAACGCGAGATGTAGGAGTTGGAAATGGAGACCAGGTTGCTGCAAGTCTTCAGATAGTGGATGTCCATTAGGGATCGAATTAGAGTTCAACTATCTCCTTATTTCTAGGTTGACTCTGTTTAGACTTTGCCTTGTATGAAGCATCTGCATTTTTCTGCTCTTTTGATAGACTGTATTTACATTGTCCTTTTTTATGTAAGTTGAATTATTTTGTTATTGATTTAAGCTCGATATGACTCCTTGATTGTTTGAGATGAGTCTCCTGCTAATAAAACTGGTCTTTTACTAATCGCAGAGTTTGGTTTTCTGGTGATGGGACATGAATTCGATGGTTATCCTAAGAGAATGATTCGAGAGATAAAGAACTGGAATTGGTTTATTGAGGATGAAGGAGCAGAGAGTGATACCGATGAGGATTCTGATAGAAAAGGCAGAAAGGGCTCTAGGAGAAAACGGAAGAAAAAAGGCGAGGGAGATGATGATGAGTGGACTGGGGAAAGTGAAGATGAGAAGGAACTGCCCACGATATCTAAGAAACTTCAGGGATCTAAATACATTACAAGGTCCAAGGACAAGTCTACTGCAAAAAGGAATAAGCCTTCTACACAGCAAAAAACTATACCCTCTGAAGAAGAATACGAGGAAGATGATGAAGAAGAAGATGAGGAGGATGAAATGCTGGGGGGTTTCATTGTAGACGATGTAGAAGAAGAGGCAGAAGTTGGTGACGAAGAAGAAGAGGAGGAATTTGATCCCGATGAAGATGATGAAGTGTTAGAAGATTGATGTTCCTCCAAAAACCGCGTTAGATGGTTTTTGCTAGCTAGTTTTATGTAATCTGCCTTTGTGAATTGTGATTGCCTTTTTGGAGTGTCAATCATTTGTCAATCCTGTATTCTACTTGTAGTTCTACATTTTCCTGTTACTGTATATGATAATGTTGGTCTTGACGTATAATTTTATTAGTACTAGTTCTTTGTACTGAACTAGCTGATTTTGCTACCCACACTTTTTTGTATTTTGTATTGATAAGATCTACGTACGCTCTACTCGCTCTCGACCTCACTAATGGAATTTCGCTGGGTAGTTTGTTGTTGTACTCTTTTGTGTCTTTTGTTGTGTTCTCTCTCAGAAACTTGTGTATACGACTAAAATTCAAACCTTATTGGTAGATGAACTGTCATTGAATATTTCTTTAGATCTTTGTTGAATGGGATAAATTGAAATCACTCTGTTGATTAAGTGACTCGTAATAGTGAAAGCTTTTCATGAAATATTTTCTTTTAGACATTTTTAAACTTAAATATGTTTTGAAACATATTAACTTAATCACATAACAATGTTACTTCATTTAGTTATACACATCAACTTAAATTGAAACATGATCAATTTATTGAGGCTAATTTAGTGCACAATCAATGAGTAATTTCCCTAGATAGTCACCCATGTTTGGGAAATTACCTACAAATATCATTTATGTTTGTTATAGGACCATAATATCACCCAACTTGATCTTCTTTCCTCAAAATATACTTCACACAAAAAAAATATTATCTCTCTCCTAATAGGATGCCATGTCACATTATTCTTTTTTTATTATTAACATTTTTTTTTAAAATATTAGACAACCCATATTAGACAACCGAGTAAAAAAAAAATTACATAGCCAAAATTTTCTACCCTAGTTATAGGGGATTTGGCGGCAAATCCAAATATGAGCTCTTCCAATTCTTCAAGAAAATATGTGGCTTCCTCTGTTTCTTCAAGAAATAAACTAATGAATTTGCATAAGGAACTGTCTCCTGAGCCGCTGTATACCTTTGATGTCGACCAAAGAAATGACCACGAGGTAAAATTCAAGTTTTCTTCTGATTCTTTTATCTTTGAAGTGTAAATTGTGAAATAATTTGAATACCTAACATGGTATTGGAGTAATCTTCTTAAAATTTAGGAGTTATTTGCTTGCTTGTTTTTGAATCGGATATTTCTATTGTTTGAATCTGCCTAAGCTTTGAACAGATGTTTATAGTTTGTGTAAAAATAATTTTTTTATCATGAACAAGAAACCTTTGATTTTTTACAAGCAATAGATGTTTATAGTTTTTGTAAAAATCAATGTTCCTAATATCTAGTTTATCTCTAAATATCCAACTCCAGAAGTGGATTAGTACTATGTTTTGGTTTTACAAAATGTTTGTAGGCTCCTAATACTAAGTACTTTAGTTACGTTGTGGAATGCCTACATTAGGAATTGAATTGTTTGTGCCCCTGCTATGTAGTTCTTGTCTTTCTAGCTATAAGCTCAATGCAAATCAAGTTTATTTGTTTTATTGAAACTATTGTATTTTGATAAAGAAGAACGAGTCTAATCTGTGGACTGTGGCTTCAAAAGATTTGAAGGTATAGAGCAAAGGAATTTTACACAATAGTTATTTATGAAGATTAGTGCAACAGGACATGGCCTTAAGTACATACATATGCATATATCAGCAATCCCTCAATATAGTGACATGTTGCTTGGACTCTTCAACAATATCAATGAGTGTGTGTCGGATTCTCCAAAATAGTGTATTTATTGGGAATCCGACACGAGTGCGGCATCGAAAGTGAAAATTCCACGCAACTTAGCTGGTGTTCACTCAAGAAATGATTCAAAACAAATTTCAACTATCAGTGACTAACATATATAGATAAAATTCTTTTAGCAGTAGAAAATCAAAACAGAATGCTTGAATACTATTGAAGCTTTTCTAGTGCAATATTAGTGTTGTTTTGATAACTTTCTGCTGCTAATTTTGGTGCGATTCTAATGCCCTTTAGAGTGAGTAAATTTATGCATATTAAAGAAAACACTTAGTGTTACTTCTAAATGAACACTGTAGTATTTTTCTTTCATTCATCTGGACACAAGGAAACGTTTTGCTTCTCAACATCATTTGCTTATTGTAGGAGTATCCAGATGCAACAGCATTGCAATTTGAATCTTTTTTGAGTCGTATTAACAGTAAAAATATAAATGTGAATATTGGAGAAGAGACTGATAATGTTAAGGATACTATCGATGAGGAAGATTTTCATGATTCAGATTATAATATTTCTGGTGAAGATGATGACTTTCAGGAGGTTATAGTTGTAAACAAAAATGTGAAAGGGAGGGGACGACCAAAAATTGCACCAGGCTCTATCAATGTACCATCTAGTTCTGCGATTGTAGTACCACCACAGGTTGTTGATGCCGAATCTGATTATGTAGATTCAAATGAAATGTTGGAGGAGGTTGAGTCTGAAAAAGAAGAAGATAAGCTTCAGGAAAAAGTTACCTATGTGGAGTATAATGAAGAGAAACACAAAGACGAGCCAATATTAGAGCTAGGGATGACGTTTGGAAATTTTACAGAATTTAAACAAGCTTGCATGGAGTGGGGTATTAAAAATAGAAGAAAGCTAAAGTTTTATCCCAATGATACAGAGAGGGTGGTGTGTATTTGCAAGCGAAAAGACTGTCCATTTAGAATTTATGCTAGCAAGTTAAGTCAAGATGATCCTACTGTGTAGATCAAGTCTATCAATTTGACTCATAAGGGTGGCATAGTGTTTGATAATCCCCACATGACACCAAAATATATAGCTAGAAGGTATTTTGAAATTTTTAAAGTTGATCCAATTTGGAGTATAAATGGAATCATAGCTACCGTAAGAAAGGACCTCAATTATACAATATCATATAAGAAGGCATGGAGAGCCAAAGATCAAGCTCTCAAATGGGTGGTTGGAGATGAGAGCCTTCAATATGGTAAGCTTTTATCATATAGAGCAGAGTTATTGAATTCTAATCCTCGATCAACTGTTGTGATTTGGAGAAATGAAGAAAAGTTTCAGGGATTTTATGTGTGTTTTGGTGCACTGAAAGAAGCATTTAAATCAGGGTGTAGGCCCTTCATTAGCCTAGATGGATGTTGGCTAAAAGGAAACTTTGGAGGAAATTTATTGTCGGCAGTTGCTATAGACCCTAATGATTGTATTTTTCATGTTGCCTATGCTGTCATAGCTCAAAATGAAAGTAAAGAAACTTGGAGTTGGTTCTTGGAGATTCTCAGTGAGGATCTAGAAATAAGAAACAGTCATCACATAGCGTTTATGTCGAATAGACAAAAGGTATATCATTTTACAGTTAATATATTTTTATTTAATTTACTTTGGCATTGTCAATTAACTATTTTAAATAATTATGCGCAGGGCTTAATTGGAGCAGTTAAGGACTTGTTTCCTTTTGCTGAACACAGAAGTTGTGTTAGGCATATGTACCAAAATTTCAGAGGAAAACACAAAGGCAAAGCTTTGAAAGATTTGGTGTGGAGTGTAGCAATTGTCAGTAATGAAATAACATTCAAGAAATGTATGGAAAAAATTGAGCAAGAAGATAGAGAGGCAAGAAATTGGTTCAACCATCCAGAAAGACCATTTCAAAGTTGGACTAGAGCCTTATTTAAAACAAATATTAGATGTGATATGTTGCTCAACAATTTGTGTGAAAGCTTCAACAAGTAAGTTCAAAAAAAAATTATTTTTCTATCAATAGTTATTTATAGGGAAAATGCATAAGTACCCCCCCAGCCTATGCCCGAAATCCCAGAGACACACCTAACCTTTACTAAGGTCCTATTACCCCCCCGAACTTATTTTTTTATTAATTTTTTACCACTTTTTGGCCTACGTGGCTGAGTCCGTGACTGCACCTATGTTAGGCGCGTGGGTGCAATTTTTAGACAACACTGACCAATAAAAATTGGCCACGTGTTAAAATAAACTTTATTGTTGTTTATTGTTCTTCATCTTTAACTAAGTTTTCTTCTTCTTTATTGTTCTTCATCTTTAGAAAAAAAAACCTCCATTATCATTATCATTCAAGTTAAATTTCTTCTTGCTTCGAAAAGGTAAAGTAAAATTTTAATATATTCTTTATATTTACACCTTTTTATTTCGATTGTTAGTTCTGATTTTAAATTTCTTTCACAATTTTTATGTATAAATGTTAGGGTTATGACAAAATCCGAGTTGAATAAGTTGTGTATGGA